GGCACTCTCATTGTGGAACTGGATGCCAAGCTCAGTCACATTTCACACAACACCCTGACAAAGCCTGTGTCAAGGAGGCAGGGGTGTCCGAAGCTCTTCCCTCCTGTTAGCACCAGTGGAGAGACTGCAGGTAGTGTTTGGCTCCATTCTCAGATGGACTTCTCTTCTTGCCCTTGGTAAGCCTGTGGAGACTCAGGAGTACGTCCTCATGCAGGTCATGAGAGAGCCCCCAACCCATTTGCCTTCCCATCACCTGTGGTCTACATAGACCAAAGAAACTGCACCAGGAGTCCACGGACAGTACCACTTCTTCTTCTGGTTCCATGTGAACATCAGGAAGCGATGCAAGTCATGTGTGGTTTTGAAAGACTATAAGGGTCACCCTGCAGAGGGATGGGGTGGTGGGCTCTAGGGGAAGCCATCCAGTTAAGCTGGGTTGCATAGTTCCCACACTGAATTCCAGACCCTGCCTGTCCCCCACTAAGCAGCCTGTGTGGAGCAGGGTGCTCAGCCTAGCCCTGCTCCTTTTCCCTGGGGAGTCACTAAGATACAAGGGCAGGTCTCCCTATGTTTCCTGTCCATCCTGTCTATCCTGACTGTCTTATAGTTCCCCTGAAAATAAATCTGACTATCCCTCCTGCTCCTGGGGGACAGAGGGGAACATCCAAATTCCACTGGGGAGAAAAAGCCACCACTCCTCCCTCAAAAGTACCTTTTCAGTCCCACTTCCTACCTCCTCTTCCAAGGACATGCCATGTCCTGTCTCTACCACACACATCCCCGAGCCTGCAATGAAGCCCCTTCTGAACAGCAAGGGAGAAGCACAACAGAAAAACCAACAACTGCTACCATGAATAAACGAATGCTTCCAAACTGTTCTATGTGTTTCATCCAGTTGGTCCTATTCCACCATCTTCAAAACAACTCAGTAACCTGTGCTATCAGGATTGTCTAAATAGATCTGGTCCCTTTACAGATGAGAAAACCAAGGTTTATTTATTCACATGGATCAGCTCTCTCACAGCTAGTGGATTCCATGCTGGATTCAAGTGCAGGCAACCTGGCAGAACTGAAAGAAACGTGGGCTCCTTGGCCATAACTGTGTACTCCTGCAAGGAACGAAGGAGGCTGGGGTTGCAGGAGGCCTGGAGACTGCCACACTGTTGTGCTCCATCCTTGGGGCTATCAGGATCCTGAGGGCCATGGGAAGGGGTCTTGGTGACTAAGCAGTAGGGGCAGGAGGGGACAGGGGCAGAGCAGCAGGCACACACATGAGTGAGCCGTGCAAAGTGACCCTGTGACTCCAAGCAGCAGGCAGAGGCTCAGACTCTGATGACAAGAGATGACACTGCACTTCATTTGCTGTGCAATGTTTATGTAACTACATACATTTGGTGCTGGCAAGAGTTGGAGGGTCCAGGCCTTGATGGATTGTGAGGCTCCACCAGGCTCCACCCCACTGATCATGGAGCTAGAGCCACCGGCCATTTTTCTCAGAGGCCTTGTCCTAGTACCCACCTGGGGCATGGAGGGGACAGGAACGTGAAGAGGTGGCCTTCCGAAGCCCACAGCCTGGCCTGCCACCCTTCCTCTTTGGCCTGGGTGGCAACCAACCGTCCTGAGGGTAACATGAAACTGCTGTGCCCCAGCCCAGCAGACTCTAAAACTCCCTGCTTCTGCCTGCCAGTGGCGTTTGACAGCCGAGTCCTTCCTTGGGACTTATGCTCCAGAGCCTGGTCTTCTAAGCCCTCCCAGATGTGTGCTTGCCCACTTCACAGGGGCAACATGTGGAAGTCATTGAGTCTCAACTTCTGCATCTATATGTCCCTGTGAAATGGGGACATCGGAAGATGAACAGATATGGGCTCCAGGGCAGTCCTGGCCCACAGCAGACCTGGGCAAATTATCCAACATGACATATATTGGGTGAAGTCAGACTCAGCACTAGGGGTTTGGTGAACCCAAACGAATTCAATAACAGTTCCTAAGGTGGTCAGCGTCCTAATCCCTGGGACTTATGAATGTGCAGTGGCTAAGGGAACTCTGCCTATGTGATTGCATTGAGCATCTTGAGATGGAGAGATGATTGTGGATTAGCTGGGTGGGCTCTGAAAGCCTAGCTACTTAACCTCTCTGTGCTGCATTCAAGTTTTCCATCTGTAAAGTGGGAAAGACATGATTCTGAGGGTGATTGAGAAGATTAAATGACAATCATTTCAACAGGGTCATCCAGAAGATAAAAATAATTATGAGAACTAGCAGTCTTCAGTCTTGGGGTCTTGTTAAACTTTCAGTGGCACCCCAAGGTGCATAGAAAGATGTTAGCCAGAACACTCACCTGCAGAGGGACACGCACTTGCATTGACTCCCTCTGCATGAAGACCGTAGCACTGCCCATTCAACATGTGTCCCTGACAAGGGAATACTTCATGGCAGGCCTGCTGTGCCCGGGATCTGTACCACCAACGCAGTCAAACATTATCAAGAAGCAGGAAATCTGAGGGATCAACCCCCTCTCAAATACCGAATTTCCTGGATGCTCCTAGACCTCTTGGATGCCACCAACCGAACACTTTACTAGATCCATGCAAATGCCCTTTCCAGAGGCTGCCCCGGCTATGGTCTCATCCACCCGGGGCTGGAGAGGCCCTGGAGGGGACAGAGGGTAAAAATGGCCCCATCACCCACAGGTGGCTCATGGCTATGGCAGCAGATCCTAGTCAAGCAAGAACCAGGTACACACATCAAAATAAAATGGAAAGGATCCAACATGTTATGAGGGCACAGAAGACACCTGACTTCCCAATAGCCAAATCTGGGGCAATTTCAACAACCCAATAAATAGTGAAGACAATACAGTATAAGCCACAGAATAACATGAATACCCCTGCATCAAATAAATAAAACATGGGAGAAGGGACAATTCTTCCTCAAAATAGAAGTCCAATCGATACACATGGAGGGAATAATGGAAACAGAAAACCATTATTTTGAATGGACTAGTAATTGCAGTTTCTGTCAAGAATCATCAATGGATGTTTAAGTTTGTGGGTAAAAATATAACAAGAAACAAGATATTTACACATTCTCCAAGTATCGCCCAGCCTGACATTTATCAATTGCAAAGGGAACAGCTCAAAAGTAGGGAATCCCAGCAGACATAACCGTAAGGACATGATCACCAGCTCCCAGGGGATTGTGATTATGGGCATCCTAAAAGACATAGCATGAGAACTCACACACCATCACCTTTACGGTGTGATCTCCCCAGATGCACAATCAGGATGAAGCACCATCAGGCAAACCCAAACTGAGAGACATACGTTACACAGTGACTGGCCAGTGCTCTTCAAAAGTGTCAAGATCAAGACAGACAGAGACTGAGGAACTGTCTTGATTAAAGATGACTAAGGAGGCTGCACAACCAAATGCAACGTGGGATCCACACGTAAGCGCTGACTTGGGGAACTGAAGACGTTAGCAGGCGACTGACCACATTTGGATCAGATATGTAGGTTAGTTTACGGCACTGTATCAGGGGCTGTATCTGATGTTGGTATCTGAAGACCTGAGTGCAGGGTATATAGGAAATCTTTTCTGATTTTTGCAAATGCTTTTCCATGTCTGAACTTATTTAAAAGTAAAACCTTAAAAAGCAATAAATATTTTCAAAAAAGAAAATAAAGGTCCCAGGTTGTGATCTTGGGGAGGCTCCACAGGTTTCCTGAAACAGGTATCAGCTAAGGGTTGGCTGGGCCACTTCGGGACTCAATACTTTGACCTTGTTCTGAGTGCTCAGCGAATGCCTACTGACTTCACTCCAACAGGAGATGGAGCCACAGGAGGATTAGTCTCCTGCAGGGGTCCTTGGAGAGCCCTCCCCCTCCCCTCCCCTCTCCCCGCTCAGCAAGCACTGACTGTGCTCCTCCTATGTGTCAGCCACTGTAGATACAGAAGACCAAGGGGAGCACAGAGACTGCTGAGAGGCAAGTTGAAAACAGTTCATTCTGGTGGTACTGGGGTTTGAACTCAGTGCTTCATGCTCACTAGACAGGTACTCTACCACTTGAGCCATCATCAACTCATTCTGGGTGACAGTGTGGAGGATTCAGTGCTCTTAGGAAAAGTGGCTCCTGAGTTGAGCTTAGGGGTATCCAGGTAGAGGGTACATTCTAGGAGGCTGGACAGACAGCAGGAATGAGACATAGATAGGTGAAAGGACGGTGTGTGTTGGAACTACAGACAGCAATGTGGTGTGGACAGTTAAGGTGGCTAGAGGGGAGGAGCCAGCTGATCCTGCCAGAAGCTCCCCTTCCAGGTAAGGGTGAGAAATGGCAGAGAGGCTAGGGGTGGGGAGAAGGTTGAGGCCTCTCTTCTGCAAGGAGGTAGGATGGGGTAGCAAGGGGCTGAACCTTGAGTCATAAAGACCAAGAGAAATGACGTCAGTGAAGGATTTAGGAGCCCCAGGTGGGAATGGAGAAGGGAGGGGCTGAGCGTTCCGAGACAGTGCTGGCTAACACACCCCATCTTCCTGGGGATGTGAAGGCCGGGAGCAGGGAGAGGCCCAAAACATCACTTTGAGCTTGTACTTAGAGTAGGGTAACCATACAGTGCATGGACACTTGAGGCAGTGAAAGGGGGTGGACTGAATTACTATGCTGGGACAGGTTACCATCCTTCTAGGGGTTTTGGGACCAGGAGGGGCTGTCACTTTATGGATGGGTGAAGAACCTCTTATTGCATACAGATCCAGAAAGGAAGACCTACAGCTGTGGACGTGGTGATGGGAGGAGAGCTGAGCGTCCTTCAGAAGGAGCTGGAGTGTGTTCGTGTGCAGGTGCCACCCACTCATATGTTCACACTCACGAGAGGCAAAGGTGCCAGCCTGCTCAAGAGCACGCAGATCAGGAACTCCAAAAAGGACCAAGGCAGGACTGGTGGCAGAAGCTGCTGGTGGGCCTCCCAGGTGGCGGGTGGCAGCAGGCAGGGAGAGGACTTACCCGTGCACGCTGTGGACAGAGTGAGACTCGTAATGGTACCTTCCCTCCTGGTGTCGCATGTCAATCGGCAAGGGCGCGTGGAATGGTGGTAGGAGGTGCTGCGGCACTGAGGAGGGGAAGAGAGAAAAAAAGACTTCAAAAACTTTTCCCCTCCCTGCAAAAGCAATTTTCAAAGGGCTTTAAGCCCAATGAATTCCTGAGTAAGAGGAGCCAGGACATGGAGCTCTGCGGTGCCCGTGCTATCACACACCCACTGAGGGGAATGAATAAATAATCAAAGTCAGCTAGAGAATCCTACATCTTCCACATAAAAGATCCCCAACCGTGCTCTTGACAAAGACAAGCAGCTCAGCGCTCTTTGAACTTGGAGAGATTACAGGCAGGCCCATGGAACCACGCTCCACCACAAATCAGGGATGACAGCGCCTACAGGCTCCCACTCTGCCGGTGTCTGCTCTCCCAGCTTGGCTGTGTGTGGCTCTGGCAGCACCAGGTGACAGCATCAGGTGCCACCATGCACACAGCCCGGAGATATTTACCTAGAACCATCTGTGAAAGCACGGCTGGCTCTGACGGGTGAGCAACCTTGGGAAGGGTACATCCTACTAGTCTGCCCGCCCTATCTCGTGGGGCACAAAAATCGGACATTTACGTGCATCTGTTAATTCTCCAGACTTCGTATTAATTATCATCAACCCCTGTGTGCTGGCAGTGCCTCCAGGATTGAAAATGCCAACACGTGAGTGTCAGTTCCCAGAGCTGAGTCAGCCTCTGTCTGCATTTGGCCTGTGCTCAACAAATCATCACGATAATTGTAGGATGCTCTTTGCTTATTGAAAAAAAATGCCTGAGTACCCTGGAGGCAAACATAATTATAGGCTTTGGGAAAACAGGGCTCTTTAAAATATAGGTAGACTGAGAAAAGGGATAAGAAGTAGAGACTTCTTAGTCACGGCTCCCTCAGTCTGAGGCCGCTGGCCAGAGGGGCAGTGTTGAGCTTGGATTTCTGAGAAATTGAAAGCCATGCGATTGGTCTGTTTTTCTCCTATGTACAGGCTTGCTGATGGCTGGGCATAGTGTGACAGATGCATAAAAATAAGGCTACTGTTCTGTGCAAACACATTCTAACACTGTACCGTGAGCACTGTGAATTCTTTTTGAAGTACTGTTGTAAAATATACACTATATAAATAAATTTGCTGCTTTTAAGCGTTCAGTTGAGTAGCCTCAAGAGCGTTTGTACTGTGCAGCTGTCACCACCTTCCATCCACAGAACTTTTTTATCATGCTCTGTCCCCATGAAACACTGGCCCCACCCCCTTCCCCAGCACTGCCACTCCACTTTCTGTCCCTTTGAATTTGGCCACAGTGGGTGTGGGTACTTCCACTGTGGGATTTTAGAATATTTGTCCTTTTGTTTCACGTCCTCAAGGTCCATCTGAGTGGTGACATGTATCACAAGTTCCTTCCTTTTGACGGCCGAATACTATTCCAATTCTCCACCCTCTCCTAAAACCCCAGTCCTCTGAAAAGGTGAGCCTGGGTATGTGATCATGGCTTGAAGCTGTGACTAGATGACCAAGTGCTGGTGGCCTCTGAGAGTCAGAGATGCTGGCCAGCTGCCTGGCTTTAAGCAGATTTCTGTAGCTGAGTCTGATTTGCCCATCTGCACATGGCGTCAGTGACACTGACATGGTGAAGACGTAAAACGTTCGTGAACAGGAGACACTGCACAGATAGGGACCTCCACAGGTGCTACTACTGACGATGACAATCCACGCTGACACTTGAAGCCCTGGAAGTCCACAATCCAACTCTGACTTTACTAGCAATGGGGCAAAGGACTCAAGTTGTTCACACCAGCGATAGGGAGCCTGGAGAGCTGAGTGCTTTCACATCTTCAGGGGCCCAACAGAAAAGTGGTGCTGACCTGTCTCAAGCTTTAGGAAACTGCCTTGTGTTTCCCAGTGCCGAGGATCAAACCCATTGCCTTGCACATACTAGGCAAGTGCTCTACCTCTGAGCCACACCCTCAGGAAAGTGCCTTTAAAAAACAAAATGAAACATGTCCAGGAAGACAGATGACAGTATTGCAGAAATGGAGGTCATGCTCAGAGTCACAGGACTGAAAAGTGTCAAAGCCAGGAAGAGAATCCAGGGCTTCTCCTGCCCTACCTTGACTGTATACTGCCATTAACAAATGCACACACAGCATCCCAGCCTGCACTTGGTGCTTGACTAACACCTACTCCTCCCTGCAGCCCCAGGAAGCTGCATTTGTATCTGAATGCCCTCTGCAGGCCATTCTGCAGAACTCTGTGTGCCCCTCCTATCCTCAGACTTGCTTCTGCAGGAGCCAAAGAAGGTGGGTGCTGTGCACATGTGTGCTGTTGTTCACGTATAATGTGTGCACATGGTATGTACATTGTATGTGTACATGTGGGTTGTTGTGTGTCCATGTAAGTCTGTTGTTTTGAGTGTGCATGAACAGGGGGAGTGGCCTGGGGCTTCCAGGAAGAGGTGTGAGGCCCACCTGTGGGGTCATGCCTCCTCCTTCCCAGTAGGTCCCTGGGTGAAGGCAGTGGGTGAGTGACAGGGAAAGAGGCTTTCTCTTTAACACAGAACTTGGGGTAGCACCTCCCATGGGCCCGTTACTCTCCAGGCAGCTGCCCCTCAGCCTGTGCAGCCTGTACCTATCCCTCCATGGCCCTGGACCCCTTGGACTCTTCATACGGGCCAAGAACAGGGGTTGGTGGCTCTGCCTGTCCTGGCACCGTATGTTAGGTTGGCCAATGGCAGCTACCAACATCTGTCACCTCACAGGGATTAGCCTATGGCTCTTTGTTTACTTTTACCATCAGCCCTGCTCTTGTCCCCATTTCTCAGAAAAGAACATTGAGACACTGGGTGCTGTGGCTGTGCTTCCAGGTGAGCAATGACTGGGCAAAATGTGACTGGTGATTTCATTGGCTTCAGCATCTCTCCACTGAGCTCCACATGGCCCCTCAGAGCCCAGCCAAATGTCCAGTATGAGGCAGGCCCTGGGTGACAGGGCCTCTGAGCACTGGGACTCCCACACAGTGTAGTACTTGCCCCAGGCTGGACAGCTGGTGCACAAGGTCAGCAAGTAGCAAGGAGTCAACACCAGGGCTCCAAAGCGTAAACTCCCTGTCCAGCCTTGGGGAGGGGACCCTACCCACATGCATCAGCAGTGAGGGGACAGCAGCCACCTAGGAATGATCACCCCGCATTCATCTGCCATTTGTCAAGCACTTGCTGTGTGGCAGGCACTGCTGTAGGCTGAGAACGGGATTGTGACAAAGCAGCCCACGCCTCAGCTGAGCGAGAGGAGACGGACGGTGGACAAGTCAGCAAACACATATGTAGCACAAATGTTAGAGTGGGACAGAAAGGAGACAAGGAAGTGGAGAGGCAGCCAGGGCTCAGGAAAGGAGTGGCACTCGGGCACAGAGAATGGTAGGTGCAAAGGCCGGGCATCAGGGGAAGAACTCAGGCTGATTTGTCTGGAGCACAGGGATGGATGGAGGTGAAGGAGACAGGAGACAGGGTCCTATTCAAAATGCTGAAAAGAAGGATCCAGTGCTCTGGCATAGAAATACACATTATCCAGGAGCCCCAGACTGGCCACTGGTAATTATGTCCCCCTGGTCCCTCTGTATGGCAGGAGTGGAGCTCCCTGGGGACAGGTCCACACAGCTTCCAGCCAGTGATACCAGTGATACCCTGGGGCTTCATGAGGGATCCTGGAGCAGTGCACGGCCAGAGCCTCTGGGTATCTGCTGGCTCATCTCTTTGCCCTCATGTACAGCTCACTGACCCACTGGCCTCCTAGGTGTCTCCCTGCCCCAGTCACCTGAGCCCAGCACCCAACGCACATTCACTCACATACTCTGTCTCACACACATGCACACACACTCACATATTTTAAGCACACAGTCTCTGGAGGACCAACTTTTTACACAAGGTGAAGTGAGGGGCGAAGGCTGGCCCAGGTTCAACTGAGGACTTGGGGCATTGCAGCCCCTCATATCCCTGACAGAAGCTTCCAGAAGCAAAGGCTTGGCTCAGAGCCAGGCTGAGGAGGAATGAGAGAAATGACTCCAGCCAAAGGCCCAGCATCACCTGAGAAACATGGAGATGACCAGAAAGAACCAGAGCTGCCTTCAAGTGACATACTCAATCAGACCTTCCACACATTGTTTTTGTTGTGGACTTTTTTAAGGAAAAAAAAAAAGCAAACTAAATCATGTCCTTCCGGCAGAGGGGGAACCTGCCCCTCCACCCTCTTTCTCTCTCTCTCTCCATATGCCATTTTCAAAGAAACTGGTATTTCTTTTTAAGTTCTTGAGGAAAGAAATTGTAAGTTGGGAATTTTCAATGAATCGCCATTCCCCTCCCCCTGGAAAAAATGCACATTTGTTTTTGATCCCACACAGAAAGACCCTGAGAAGCTGGGGAAGGGTGGAGTGATGGCGTCTGTCACTAAAACCCCAGAATTTTTGTGTGCTAATTCAAACACCGAATGCTCCTTGGCTGGTGGTGCCGGGTGAGGGGACATTTGTGTGACAGTGTCCTTGGGGTAATGATCTGGTTGAGTGCAAGCAGGATGTTGAAAGAGGGAAAGGAGAGTCCATTCCTGGAAGCCGCACAAGTTAAAGTCCCATTAATAATGAGTCCGATGAATGACTGGGAGAGAGGATGGGGCGGGGGTCGGCAGAGACCTCAGACAAAGAACGGAAAAAACTGGGTCAGAGAAACAAGACAAGGCAGCCTCGTCAGCCTCCAGGGGCATTCTCCTCAGATGAAGTCATGTGTGGCTGCGATGCAGAAGCTCTGCTCCGACAGGGCCCGAGAGGCCGGTGAGGTCAAAGCAACCACCGCCCAGGAGAGACAGGTTAGGGACACCCCGCCAAGTTCCTGCGTCTCTTTAATCAAGACTGCAGGTTGGGATTAGCTCAGCACATGTGGCTGGTGAGTGGCGACAGCTTGGGGCCAGATAATTGGATTTCTACAAGATGTTCCATTGCCCAGGTACTGACTGAGGGATGGTAGAGGCAGGTGGCTCTGGGAGGAGGCTGAGCCCTT